CACTATGTAGAGGGTTAAAGAAACAGTCAGCTGGCTCCAGGCAGCAGGGTCTGTGCTGAGGACCATGGGACAGCCAGGAATCAATCAGTTATTGGAGGCGTCAAGGACACAGACCTTCCAGGCCACACCATTGGGAAGCTTCTTCCCACAGGCCACCTCCTATCAGCAAGCCAGTTATAAACCTCGTGCTCCAGTCTCTCCCAGGAGCCCAGGCTATGACCCTGTGGTGCTTTAGAGGGGCATCTAGATATGAACCATGGCCCATCTCCCACTCAGCATGTATTTCCACAGAATTAGCTAAAGCAACAAATCTCCATTCACAGTCATTCCTGAGTTAGAGGGCGTCATGACCTCAGGTTAGTCACACTGATGGCCCAAAGCAAAGACAAGGACATTGGAGATCAAATTGTCTGTACACACTGTAGCACACTGTAGAAGTCAGAGGGCAAGAGCTGATGAGAGTAGGAACTGGTTCTCACTATTTGAAGGAGAAAGCCTCCACTTGGCATTTTGCCTGGCACACAGACAGGGAATGTGAAGATGGGGTGGGGGGACCCATGCACCAGTGAGGATAAAATGAGGACTCTGACAAGAATCCAAACCCTCAAAGCTCGAGAGGCTGCAGGGATCACATGGATGCATTCTCTTCCAGCTCGCAGCCATGCCAGTCCCACGCAGCATTCACTAACACCATTGCCCCACTCTGATGTACTCCCCTGCGGCATACATAGTGCCCTCTGGTGGTGGAGTCTCAGGGAAGACTTCCTCCTGGAGTTTAGAACCTGTCACTCCTACAGCCACCAGTGGCAGCTGGAGAGGGACTTGGCCTTAATTCTCAGCAGAACCTGCTTTGCTTCTCCCATTCGCACCTGTTCTCATTTACTATTTGTACTGCGCTCATCTATGTATGGTGCATACTATTCTTAAAATTCTCCAAATGGCTTATTCAGAGTACATTACCCACAAGACTTAACAGTCTCCTTGATTTTGATCCTTGTTGTTTTTCTAGGCTCATTCTTTCTCTCATATTACATTAACTAATTTTGGGGTGTACTTTATCCCCCCCAATGAAATGTGAATGCTTTAAATGCAACAGCTACCTCTGTTCTCTGCCACAAGTAGTGTTGGACTCAGAGTCAGTCACTACTTCTTAGTTATTGTTACTAAATAACTAAAAAGTAAAGCAATTATTAACTATCCACCTGTTCTGACATTAAGACAGAAAAGGCAAGCTCCTGAATTCACCTTGTGTTTAACAGGAGTAACTTCAGTTGACAAAACTATTCACTCACAGAGCAAACTCAGAGGGGCCCATCTTGTTCTGGCATAAGGGAAACGTCAGACTCCCTGAGGGTCACATATCCCAGTGGGAAAGGCAACCTGCAACTGGTAAGAATGGTAATGAAATTGAACACTAAGCTAAAATGAAATAAATATTCTCAGAAGGAAAAGATGCAAGTGTAGCGCAGCACAGCAGGGAGGGGTCCCAGCACAGGAGATTGGGGACCAGCATGCAAGGTTGAAATCTGTGCTCAGAACAAAAGTCCTTACAAAGATTCAAAAATGCAAGATGAGAGTGAGTCACCCAGCCTGCAGGGCGAGTGTCCAGGGTGAGCTGTTGTGCTCGGGGGCATCATCAAGGTTGTGGCAGAGTTCTGGCAAGAGCTTGTCTGGAAGATTCCTTGTGGTCTGTATGCCATAGTAAGGTACCAGCTTTTTCTGCATGTGGCCTGGGGGCCACTGGAGAACCCCACAGGGGTCCCATGGCCTGATTCCAGCTTCCTAAGTGTAACTGAGATGGTTGAGAAGAACATGTCTGCTGAAGCAAGGTGGTGTTAGCTCAGAGTAGGGAAAGGGCAGGCTGGGTGGCATGAACCCACTGAATTCTGGATGCATTTTGGGGTGGAGATTTGGGTGTTCCTGATGATACCAGGTAAGAGAGGACAGAAAGAGACAAAACCAAATCCAGCCTGAGCCCTGTGCAAGAAGTCTTGCCCCCAAGAGGGATGCAGATACTGCAGAGAACAAAGCCCAAGTGTGGGACACATTGTGTTTAAAGTGTTCAGTTTGCTGAGGAGGCATCTGAACTTTTGGATCTGAACTAGAGGAGAGTGATCTGGGCTGGGGGTACAAGCGGTGAGATCATGCTCAGTGTTGCTGCTTACCTCCTGAAAGCACAAGACACCAAGTACATAAACAAGTAGGCAGAGCTGAGGAGCAGTGCTGAGACTTGGGGCCCTTCAAGGGTGTAATTAAGGTAGAAATCAAGGAGTTAATCAAGGAGCCTGAGAAGCCAGCACCAGCAAACCCAATGGGGTGTGCTCTTTTAAGAGCCACACAATTAATGTGTTTTAAGGAGGAGGAAATAATTTATTGTGTCAATATTGAAAAGTCCTGTGTGGAAAGGGAACATGAATCCATCAAGTTGCAATGAGACTGTTCCAATCATTTACAGACCATTTAAAACAATTAAAAATCACTCCATAAGATGGAGTTGAGCCCTCAGGACAGGCGCACTGAATGCCTCCCCACTGAAAAGAAGAGCAGGCAACATACGGGGAGCACAGTGCAATGCGCTTGTATTTCCAGTCTCACACCAGGGTGTCCCTCTGAAATCCCCTCCACTCTTCTCCCACCGATGATCTAGCACATGTGCTAAGCTCTTAATTCCTTCTTTCTAATTTTCAAACTCATTGTTGAATATGACTAACCCAGCCAGGCTTAGGGTTTTATGTTAGTACTGGGTTAACATGAAATCCTTCTAGGAGTCATAATTTCATCCTCTAATAATAACTAGGCTCTATGTTGGACATATCCTAATGGACAAAACACACAGAGATCATCAGACCATGTGAATCTCTCCATTATAGTCACAGAATGAGTCACTTCAGGCTCACCATGTGTGAAACAGCCCAAGTACCACGGTTTCAACAATATGATCATGCTAAAAAGACAGAGCTTCTCAAGTTGTGGGTAATTAATAGAAGTCATGACCAGTATTGGAAAAAAGAAAGAAAATGAACGAGCAACAGCAGATGATATTGCACATAATCAAGGGGTGTGTGTGTGTGTGTGTGTGTGTGTGTGTGTGTGTGTGTGTGTTGAATTCAGAAATAATTTGGCAACTGAGGCTTTCAGTTAAAGCAAAAACAAAACCTTGAAAGTTTCTGATCCTACAGTCACTAAAGCACTGCATTGGGAAGGGTTGACTGAGACTCATCCCTGGGCCATTAGCAGGGACAGCGGCCTGGACAGTTAGCATGCTCCAAGGGGGCAGATTGGAGATGCACCTGAGCCAGAGAAGTTGTGCTCAGTCTGGGGCTGCCAAGGAGAAAGGGAAAAGCTTTTGGTGGAATCCTGCAAATCGAGTCCACCGGTTATTTAATCAGCCACTCCATCCTCTACCAGCGTAACTGAAGGAATGAGCATCCACACGAAAGCTCTTGACACAGAAAAGAAGCTACAAGTGCCAGGGCTTTAGCTCATCTCCACTCTTCGAGTTCATATTCCTTTCTCTGCTTGCTCAGTGCACTAGCCTGACATTTTCCTTTGTTCTTATGGGCATATATCGAGTTTCCTCCCACGGATCTCCCACATGGCAAGAGCAGTACAGACGCTAAACATTATTCTTCCCCCACAGATGTCAGAAATGCATGAGCTCGCAGAGGAGTGTGCCTGGCTGTGGGTGGTGAGGGAAGGGGGCCTAGGCAGCCTTGGGAATATCAGTTCCTTGGGTGCAATTAAATTCGGCCTTGAAGCTCCCGAGAGGCAGTGACTCAGCTGCACTGAGCAGGTGGCCTCCTGTCCTGCATCCCAGGATTGGCCAGGGCTGTGAGTGATCACACGGAGAGCTGTGCTTTAGGGAAGGTTGAGGGGCAGCACCCGAGCTGGGGCAGGCAAGTGTGACAGCACCAAGTGCTTCACCCCACACGAGGAATACGCTCCCCAAAATTCCTACGTACGAATTGCATTTTATTCCTAATTCACAAGATAAGTTCTATCCACTTGCAAAACATTAAATTACTTGTATTTCCGTAAACTTACTGACATATGTATGTTTTAAGTAACAAACTCTTATTTGCAATTTCTAGTTTCTTCCTCTGGTTGAAGGTAGCAAATATTAAATAATACTGTTAATAAAATGTTCATAATATTTTTCTCATGATAAAAGAGCATTGAGGAAGTAAAGCCACACAGCAGTTACAACCTCTCCAGCTCAGGTGAAATTCCATTGTGCCCCCTTGAAGCATGCTAACTTCCGTCAGTCACCAAGCTATAAGGGTGAAACTGAAAGTGTCTTCAATTTGCCACAAGCACCCTAAGAAAACTCTCAATGCATTCTTTCCTCTTCACTCATTAAAAATACTATGAGACACCAAGTCTTGAACATTCATCCCATTCTAAATATGTACAAAGGAGAGCATCACTCTCCTCCAAAGTTATGACATGAAAAATTTCAATGGATTTTTTGCATAATTTCTCTCTCTCTTTCTCTCTCTCTCTCTCTCTCTCTCTCTCTCTCTCTCTCCTCACACACACACACACACACACACACACACACACACACAACACATTGATCAGGCTATCCTGACTAATTAAAGAGACAAGGAT